CAGGGGAAGGTACATGTGGCATGCAGCTGTATGCTGACCTGTTTAAAGAAAATCACATTACCGGAAGGAGGTTGCTGTTGCTCACAGAAAACGACATGCGGGACATGGGGGTTAAGTCCAAAGGTCACGTCATGCACCTGAAGGCAAGGCCCAGTTAATCATTAACCACAGCCGTCTTTTTTTATCCACACACATAATTTACAGGATGAGATCTATGCTTGTTGATAGTGAATCTTACATTTTCTTTTTGGCAGGGTGAAATTGAAAAGCTAACTAATGATTACCTTGGGTTCGTCCACTTCCCGCCTCTGTTGAAGGTATAAAGTTTTTTCTTTATCTTTGGAAGGAGCTGTTTGTTTGTGTGTGTGTGGGGGGGGGGGGGTAGTACACTGCATATTTGGGCCAAGGCCTAACCCAAACCCTTCATCTCATTATACAACCCTAAGCTGTAAAATAATATTTCTACCATGTACCATATTTTCTTTCCAGGATGAGCTGGAAAAGGAGGTGGAGAGGAGTAAAACTGTAAACCTGGAGCTGGTGTTTGGGTACCACTGGAAACCCGGAACTGGCAGATCTGTACGTTTGGTTTGTAGTGAAACACATACACAGATTGCATCAACATATTCTGCAGCTGTGAGCATCTGATGTAGATCCTCATCCGCTCTGTGAAGGGCATCCAAAAAATTGAGGACAATCACATATAAATATTGTCTGCATTGATCAGGGTTGTTATTAATTGTTAACATCTTTAATACGTTTGGCAATAATTGTTACCGTGTAAATGGATGCACAGAATTGCATTTTTTGCCGTGATTGATTCAGCCTCCTTGTACTGAAGCTGTTTGTTCTGAGGACTCATGGTAATGGCTGTTACACTGGCCATTAAAGGCATCACTAGACATGTGTAAAACCAGACAAATAAACATTTCATTCTCAGCCATGTACCACATCCAGCTCGACTTGCTCACGGCCCTTTGTTAGGGTCTCAAACTGTGGAGAAAGGGTGGCTCTTCACTTGCTGTTTGAATTTAATCAAAAATAGCCCATTTAGCCAGAAGTCATTTTCTTTTTAAAAGGCAAACGTTATTTAATCTTTCAGCTGTTCATTGTCCCATCATAAATAGTCCTCTTTCAGTGTGTTCGGCAGGGCTGAAACGAGCCTGCTAATTGCCTCCCATTTCTTCTGACATGTGGTGGTTTAGTGGGTAGAAAACACAGCAGGGAGAAGGAAACAGGAGGCTGAGAAAATGAGAGCTAATTATTTTCCCCTGCCTGGTGTCAGGTTCCGTGTCAGCCTTGTTTTTACAAACTGGAAGGTTTTTTGCACTAAATAAAACAAACCCGCACTGAATTTTTTTTCTTCGCCCCTCTTTGCTGGCGATGTCATGGAAGCAGCTGCACTTCTCAAAGACAAAATGAGGGCCTGCGATTGTGCGGCCACCATCTGACAGCCACTGAGGGTCCCCTACTAATGAGGATATCACCGTGCAGCCAAGTGAAAGGTGCTGAATTATGTATGAGTTGTCATTAGACGCACTCGGGTCCTAGGCATCATTACCAGACATTGTTTCTGCTGGAGTGATTAGACTAGCATGGACCTGGGAGACCCAGTGCGACCGTCCAGTGCAGACACCAGGCCAGCGCAGGGCCACTGGTGTGTTTCTGAGCCAGAGACTTGCTGAAGCTTCCCCTTTGAGCCGTTTCCAGCCTCTGGGGACGATGCAGGAGAGGGCGAGGGCTCCTCAGACGAGTGTGTTAGTGCCACTCCTCTGATGTCTTTCTCTGTGATCACTACACAATGGATTGGCCTGTGCCATGAACCCTGCGCGGTTAAGCAGTGACCTGTGGTTTCGTGGCCAGCTTCTGGGGATTGGCAGAATCATTACTGCTTCGTCAGCATTCAGTATGCAGGAGAAGAGGGATGGGGAATTGTTCAGATTTGTGCCGCCTAGAGAGGATTTGATTTGTCCTGCATGCAACAACTCATCCTTCACCCTTATCACTTGAAATGGACCAGATTCCTTCTTCAAAATATTCCTCCTGGATTCCACTGAGAATGATAAGATCAAATGGAATTTACAATGTCTACATAAAAAATATTTGATATTGTTGTAATTAGTTTTTTTCTCTCTGTTATATTAATTTTATGAAATGCAAAAATTTCATGTTGAGGTATCAGTATAGTAAAGTGAAAAAATTATTTCCATTAGGATCAGTTCTCTAAATAAGGTGTTTCACAATGCCTTTACTCTGCTTCATATATAGTATACACATTAAATTTCTTATTTTTGCCCCCCTGCTATATATGTATAATTTTTATGCTATAATTTCTTTCCTCCCTCACAATACGAGGCCTTGTGGCCAATAACTTGCCACTACCATTAAACAACCTCTAGGTTGTGCTGTTGGTTTATATACAAGAGTAACCAAGTTCTCCACACAGAATCCTGCAATTATAAACTTTTCCATACATCAGGTGTTGTTTCTAAGTCTGCCAGACCACACTTACATTATCTCACCATTAGCTCTTTTCTTTCAGGACTGCAAATGGAAGATGTATATGGAACTTGATGGAGACGATGTCGCAGTAACCTACATCAAAGATGTCATCTTTAATGCCAACCGACAGGATGTGGAAATCCTGCGGATGACTAAGGTGTCGTCAGAAATGCATTTCCTTAACAAGTCACAAATGACAAGACCACTCATGTTTCAGTCAGTGCTAAATGGTGCATTTTACCTGTAGGATTGTTGTATTGTGGTTGACATATTCAGAGTTTTTTAATGAACTACTGTGATTGCATTGCAGCCGCCTTTTGTGATGGACAAATGGATTGTTGGAATACAGCAGAACCAGAGAGTGGACTACACGGTCAATTATGAGGTGAGTCATTTCAGCAGCTGTGGGAGGCACCTTACAAAACAATGCAAATCTAAACATTCTTCATTTGAAATATACATTTGATAATGCATTAAAGGCAATCACAGAACCCTGTGCGACAAGTATATTGTTTTTCATACTAAATATCCTTATATTCTTTTTTGACCTGACACTGCAGAATGATGTCAAGTCACCAAAGTCTACCAGACACAGCTGTCCAGTGACGTGGAGTCTCGTTGGTGGACAAGACGAGATCAAGACTGTGGAGCTCATCATTGAAACAGCACCAGCTGACATAGACTGTAACCCCGGGGACAAGTCTAACTCAGGTAATGGTTTTAATTATAGTTGTATTGTCTTTGACCTGAAGAGTGCCAAAGCAACAGTTTTCACTGCTGGACAAATAAAGATTGTTGCTGGTGAATTTCCTATGAATTCGAGATATCACAAATGAACAGTATTAAAACACAGAATGTGCTCCTATTTTTATCAATCCACATCTTTTTTAGATATTGATCCCATATGGATGTACAATGTAAGGCGGAGGCAGAGGCAGATGATGACCCAGAAATCTCTGCAGACGACTGCTGCTCTGACTGCCCTCACTAGCTCTGATCCCCTCACTCTACCTCACTTCCTGTCTGCACATGAAAGCCATGGGTTTTCTTATGCTGCAGCTGTGCGTCGCTCTCCAAACCGCATCCATGTACCTCCCTGGATCGACTCACGCAGTTCCTCGCCAACTGCCAGCCTGTCGGCCAAACTCTACCCACTCCATCTTGGGTCAAAGGGCAGCAGCCCTTCCAGCACAACGTCAGAGAGCGCCTCAGAGAGGGAACGAGAGCGTCCGCTTAGTGCTGGAGCAGTGCATGACCGCCGCAGAAACAACAACTTTGGCAACACATTATCTGTGGGAGGGGGGCAGGGTAGGGGACATGCATGGACCAATAATAGAGGTAGCTATGTTCATAATAAAACCAGCAAGTCCTCACGGCAGCCAGGTCGCCCAAGGTCCAACAGTTACAGTGTCACACCAAGTATACCAGGTATATCATCTGTGACAGAAAACCCTGGTGAGGAAAAAGAGGGCGCCAAAGCCAGCGATGGAGGGTGGATCAAAGTGGAGCGACAGAAAAGATTACCACGTCAGGACAATAAACAAGTCAGAGGTCGACAGAGGAAAGGGGGCAGGGGAGGGCGTGGCATCAGTGGAAGAACGTAATGTGAGCCACAAATGAACTGACAGCTTCTTGTATGCTGTTATAACATGTTATGCACTGAAAAGGTTTTACATATGTCTGCATAATGCATTTTCAAACATAAACTACATACTGTAGATAATCACACTGATGCCTACAATGTATGTATAAATAGTACCATGTGTGTTTATTTAAAAACTGGCTCCTGTCAAACTAATAAAAATGTGTGACAATGGTTAAATCCAGGATTGCAAGTTTTATTTGGTCTGGTGTGCCCTTTTTTTTATACAATATTTGGGTGTGCTCCACCACAGCCTTGTTATTGTGCTTCAGTCAAATCCACTTCCTGTCTTATCTCATTTTTGTAGCCAGTCTGATACCTTTTATTATTCCCTGTTTGTTAGTTTTAGTAAATTACATTTTTATATCTTCTTTTCCAATGGCCAATAAATCTTCCTTTAATGCATTTATCAACAACCCAAGTGTAACTGAACACATCAACAACAACAAATACAGACATTTACATATATTATATTATAATATCTGGTCTGCATAACAGTGACTACTTAACTTACGTCTGAACCATATGTCTAAGCACACACAATGCACTTTTAAGATATGACCTATTAATAGTTGAAAAGTTGGAAAGAGATTTTTACCGCCTTGTATGCAAATCAACAAGTAAAATATTCGCGCCACGGCAAAGTACATGGAAGACACACCGCTCTCCTTCCCAAAATGCCTTATAAATTAGTTAAGTTTGACTATTCCAAGAAATATCGAACACATTTTAAAATGTTAATAATGAGTTTCAGTTACGCATTTGCCCCCCATATGTCCACAGAAAGTTTATTATGTTGTGAAACCACCTGACTACATTTTATGCAGCTGTCAGGACTTTCCGGTGGCGCGGGAAATGAACAGAGTGGGCTGCGTGTCGCTGCAGGTCCTGCATTGTTCACCGCAGAGCTGCTGCACGGTGTGTTTGGGTGTTGCTGTGTAGGAAAAGTATAAGAAGAAAATGCCAGTCACACGCTCCAAGGTAAGAAAACCCAGAATCTATTTTAAATAACAGTGTGTTTTTTTTAATTTTCTTTCTTTTAACATTCTGTATTGACCACATTGTTACAGTAACATTACACTTACACTAAGTCCTGCATTTCCTCAAATGGTTACTACAACCTTAACTTACTAACTTGATTGAATGATTTAAGTAGTTAAGTTAGTAACATAAGTTAATATTACACCTCTTTGGTAATGTTAATTTGGTTAATATGGAGGTAACTTTAACTTTAATGTTAGCTTTTTAACTTATGATGGCTGAAGTCCATGTTAATTGTATTGAAATATACTGGACCAGATTATATAACATTACATTTTGCTAACTGAAACGTTTGCATTAATGGATTCATCCATTAACAGAAAATGTAACGTAAATGTATTATTCAAGTCATTTTTTTGAGCAAAAACGGACAAAAACACTAATTCCAGCTTTTTAAACATACAACAAAATTTTCTGGTTTAAGCTTCTATTATATAAATGTTAAAATTAATTCTTGTTTTGGTCTGTTTTTTTGACAAAACAGTTTGAACATGTCAACTTGGGCTTTAGCCATTTAAAAAAGGTTTGTCAGATTAATTGATAATAAAAGTAATCATTATTTTGTCCCTACCACAAACCATTTAAAGCCTAGCAAACAAGATCACAAAATTGCAAATTATGAAAATGTTAATTCATAAGTTAGTGCCTTTATGTGTAACACAACCTGATTGCGTGGTTAATAGTCTGTCTCTTCTATAGTATCCTCAAGTGACATGTTAACTATGTAGTTTAATAAACTGTATTAAATAGACACACAAACTTTCCCATGCACTTTTGTATCTTTCCAAACTTACCTACACTAGAAACTGGCGGCCCAGCCTCCATCTACCAGGATGAGTTTGAGGAGCTTCCGCAGCGTCCCGCTGGTTCCCATGGAGACTTCCTCCTCTTCCTCTGATGACAGCTGTGATAGCTTTGGCTCTGATGGAGGCTTTGCAAACACGGTAGCAATAAAATACTATAAAGTAAAATACGGTTTCTATCAAATGGTGGTGAATGTGTAAGGTCTCTGTGGCACCATCTGAAGATTGTGTCTGTGTTTAGAGGGGCAGCTTAAGACAGACGAGGAGGATGGCAGAGAAACCCCAGGTGTTTGAGGCTACATTAGAGGAAGATTCATGCATCGGGTTTGAGGAGAATGTGATCAGCAGTCAGATGAAGACCATGGTAAGTTTTTAGGAGAAATACAATTGCAACATATTTCAGAACTTCATCAGACGCCACAAAGTTTTTTTTCTAACCATAAATTGTTTTCTTTCAGAAAGTAGACTCTGAATCTCCGAGACGTGGCCGCAGGTCCAACATCCTCACAGTTGCCATGACATTCCCAACCAAGAAGACAGGCAAGAAGAGGCCTGCATCTGAACCACTCCATAAAACTAAAGTCCAGGACTCCGACTCTGAGGAAGAGGGGAACGTCATGGACAAGAGAGCCCTGAATATTAAGGAGAACAAAGCAATGGTACAATTTGCTGCCTCACATTATTTGGTACTATGAACAGAACTTTGACCAGGACAGCCTCCCTTTTCATTGTGCTGTATCTCATTCATAATTTATTTATTTTAGCTTGCAAAGCTCATGGCAGAGCTGAACAAAGTACCTGGACTCTTCCCAGGACGGATGGCAATGTCTGCTTCCACTACGGTAAGTTGACCTGATAAAGATAAATATTTGAATCTGTCCACATGGTGCATCATCAATGCTCTGTATTAATTGGTACTATTACTATAACTACTTAGCCTCGACGGGCACCTCGGCGGTCCATGGGAACTCCAGGAGCTTGTAGGAGAAACCCGCAGCGCTTGTCTCGACCCCACACACGTTCCCGCACACTGGTGGATGGACCCCCCAGCCCAACCCCTGAGGAGGAGCCTGAGGACAAGTTCAGCCTGGTCCGCAAAAGCCGCTACTATGAGGAAGAAGATGAGCCAGTAAGTTAGATCACAAACAGTCTGTGCATCTTGTCACATTTTGCATTGCTTCAAATTCTCTTAATGTATGCGCTATGGGGATTAATCACATTCTGATTAACCACATTAATTTCATATGCAGCCTCGTCGCCGTTCCTTCAATGGTTCCAAGGCCATCCCTCATGTAGTGCGGCCCGTGGAGGACGTCACAGAGGCAGAGCTGCAGAGCATCTGCCACAACGTACGGGAGAAGGTCTACAACAGCTCCACTGTAGGTCCCACATTCACTGTAATGCTGAAAAGATTTGAGCATCTGCATATGTTTGGCAAGAAGATAAAAAAATTTCTCTTTATTTTTAGGGAACCACTTGTCACCAGTGCCGCCAGAAAACAATTGACACAAAAACCAACTGCCGTAATCCAGAGTGTGTCGGGGTGAGGGGTCAGTTCTGCGGCCCCTGTCTCCGTAACCGCTACGGAGAGGAGGTCCGCGACGCTCTACTGAACCCGGTGAGTACCTAAAAGTATAATATTGTATTCACATTTGATCATGTGTGTGTTAGGGAGGTCTGACTGATTTCATTCTCATTGTCTGTGGTAGGAGTGGCAGTGCCCACCATGCAGAGGGATCTGTAACTGCAGCTTCTGTAGGGCCCGAGATGGTCGCTGTGCTACAGGAGTGTTGGTTTATCTGGCTAAATATCACGGCTTTGATAATGTTCACGCCTACTTGAAAAGGTGACTGGACCATTTGTAAAGTCTATTTTCATTCTTTTTTATATATTTAAATGTCTGTTTTTTAACATGGAGGTTCTGTTATTTTCTCTGCAGCTTGAAAAAGGAGCTAGAAGAGAGCAGCGAGTGAAGTATGGAGGAAGCAGCTGATCCTGGACCTGACTGACATGCTCTCACCATTTTTTACATACACACAGTTCAGATATTGTTCAGTGTTTTAAGTATTATAGCAGTGCTTTTTATTGTTCCTGTTATGATTTTTCACATAAGTTTTAAACAATGACTGACATCTGGAGCAGATAGTGGTTCTCTCCAGTCTAAAGCTTGCATGGTTTTTGTTGTCTCGCACATTTTCCTGTCCGTTCTCAAGAGCTGAACCCTTACATTAGGACTGGTTAATTGTAAACTTAAGGTTGTCTCAACCTTAATTTCTTGATGGCCGTCTGTGATCTTAAATATTAAGATGATTGGTGTACATATCCCATAGCAGGTATCAATTTTTTTTTTTAACCCGCCTGTTGCAAAAAAAATTCAGGCTTCTTTACTGTATTTTACATTGTTTTAAATGTATATATTTTACACAGCACAGTTGGACATTGGGATCCATTTTTGTGGCTTTGCTTTTCTTATTCCAATTTATGCTTGTGTTTTTACAAGTTGCATGGCCTTTTGTAAGTCTGCTGAAAGTAAATGAGTAAATGTAGAAACCCAAAAAGCAAACAAACTGCATTAGTTGAGATGTCCTGTAGAAATGATCCAATGATCTGCATGCTACTATGGTGGTGCAGGTGGAAAGGGCATAGACTGGGGTCCACTGCCTCTCACTTTAACCAGAGAGGAACTGTGTGATATACTACAGTGCCTGGTTAAATATCCTTCATTAGATAACTGTCACTAATGGTGTGGAAACAATTAGCACACTCTAATGGGAATCTCATACCTGTAAATCATTTTATCCTGTTAAAGCACATTCTCGCTCTGCTCCAGTCTCTTTGCCTCATTTTCTGCCTTACACTGTTAAGTGGGAATGGTTGAAGGTGCCACTGAAGTGGCAATAGAGTTATGGCCTGCATTTTCTGTTCAGAAGTGTAATACTCCACACAAAATGACATGGAATTAACCTTTGTGTCGTTCATCTTTGAAATGTACTTCATTCGACCTGCACCAGGACATTCTGTGATTATATGATACTATTTCAAAATAATCAACGGTTGAGATTTCTTCAGTGTAATGGCAAGTGGAGGTTATCTTACTGCTGCTTGTATTTATCAGGCACTGCACAGTTAATGGAAACAGTAATGCGGAACTGATAATGGGAATATCTGTTATGATGCGATGCTTGCTTTGTGCTCATTGGCTTTACTGTACATTTTCATTAAAGCGTTAATCACTGCAGAATCATGTTATCAGTTTTCTTTGGCTTGACCATCACTCTATCCAGAACAGTGGCAGCTGTAATTACTGTTATTGAAACATGTTGGAGAAATCCTGAATGCTAGTGGTGATTGAAGATCTTGGCGTGTAAATGCCGGAAATGTATTAATGTTTCCATCACGGCTGGCTAGCTACAGTCAGTGTTTATATTAAGTTTGCATTCCTATAGAGAGTAAAACAGACTTATCTGGCTAAAATGATGACACTATCCTTGTACGGGGCTTCATGGGTCAGATAATTACAATTTACAACAGTATTAAGCTGCATTAAAGGTACTAAACAAATAAAATACAAAATAATTTACTGAGTTTTGATGTTAATTCAGTAAATTTGGAGAAGAAACTCAAGAAGGGCAGCAAATAGTTGTCATAATGAATTATCTGTCAGTTAGTAGTATAGCTTATAGTATTAAAATATTGGGGGGAAAAGACCATTAGAATTTTCTCTGACCAACTGCCTAAAATTTAAAATGCTCTAATCTAGAAAGGGCATAAAATCTTCACATTTGAGTCAGTTGGAAATTAGTGAATGTTTGGCATTTTTGTTTGATAAAAGATAAACAATTGATTATCAAAACTGTTAATTATTTTTCTATCAATTCAACTGTTTTAGCACAAAAATCTGTAAATTAGTACCCAAATTACATTCTCTGCAGTATTTAAGAAACACAGGCTGATATTTATCTTTTTACATTACAATATTCAGTAGAAAATTATGAACAATGTGGCAGGCAAATGAGAGGCTTTAACTTTATGCCCTTTTGGTCTTGGTCTTACAGTTACTCTGAGAGGATTTACTCTGTGTTGAAACTACTAAGTAAAAGAACTGAAGTTCGTGTCTGCTTCCAATTCAGGGTTCACAGTAGTGAGAGAATATGGCTACAGAGACTGAATATGTGTTAGAAATGTTTGTGGTGTTGGAAGAGGATGACTGTCGGACTTCCAACATTATTGTTTACCCATAACTTTGTTGTTGTTTACCTTCATTGTCCTTGCCTTGATTAATCTGTCCACAAAAAATGGAGCAACCCTGGAGCAACCCTCCATTACAGCCACAATCACACAATACATTGCACAACGTTGTTCAGGCTTTGAAGCAGTATTCTTCAATCCACTGGTCCTCTGAGTTGAGTCTGCAGATGGTCCAGTCCTATGGTGACCTTCAATTCACACGATATTTTACATGCAAAACATCAGATCACCTTATAAGCTAACTGCTGCTCTACTCTCCTAAAGCAAATGGATTGCAGACGCAGCGGTGACCTGGAAAATGAAGGGAGCCACCCATAGTGACACCAGCAGCACTTACAATGTACCAAATGTAAACTACTGCAGTGCTGACTGCTAGTGTTTGCCAGAAGGGATGTCCCACTAGGATTCATGCATGCAGTGAGAATATGCCTTTAGGATTATTCGATATAAAATAGTTTCAAATGTGCAAATGTATCATTTTAATACCTGTGTGACAGACAAAAGGGTACCAATAACAGTGTGGCTCTGTAGACGGGTACACAAGTACAGTGTAAGCCAGAAAAAAGCAGTTTTATGAGCGCAGTATGTAGATAACAAATTTATCCTTCTACAGTATGTACACCACTGTATTTACACACACACCGATCACATTAATTCAGATAACATTCTAATTAAAATTATATTTATAGCCTATGCTATCACTCATTGATGATGCTACAAAGCCACAAAAGATTTAATAACTACAGTTTTGAGCAAATCAATCAGTAGAACAATAGCAGTGAATTCACATTCATTTGACTTTACCTGTCATGTCTCTCCTTCATGGTATCAGGAGTAGTACCTTAAAGCATGATATGGTTGTCTCAGTTTTGAGCTCAATCTGTGGCCTCTTCACAAAAAGGCATGCCGCAGGTATAGCAATATTCTTTTAGTTAAAATAATAACTAAAGCCCCAATTTGTTCAGTTTTTCTGACTTTTTTTTCTTTTAGGTGACAAGACTTATACCTCTTTCATGTCTGTACGATACAGTACGTAGTTGTAGCGAACAGCCAGTTAGCTTAGTTTAGCATAAAGACTGAAAATGGGAAAACCATGGATGTATTATTAAGGCGGAAACAGCTAGCCTGGGTCTGTTCGAAGTTAACAAGTCACCTGAGTGTCCCATGGTTGCCTGGGAACCTGTACCCTGACAAGAAATATTTGGTGCATTGTCATTTTTCCACTTCAGTTTTTTTATTGAAATGAAATAGAACACATTAATTAGTGAGTTTTAGAGGAGGTTGTAGTTGGAGTGTGTTACCTTTGGACAGAGCTATGCTAGCTGTTTCCAGTCTTTATGCTAAGCTAACTGGCAGCTAGCTCCAGCTACATGTTTACATGAGAGCAAAATATCTAGCTATATAAATTATTGTGCCGATTTACAAATCCAATAATTAGTCTTGTGTAATTATTGTATATTCCTAATTAACTGATCTAATGTTTATTAATTACACCACTATTGACACAACAATGAAACAAAACAACAAAATAAAATATTATTGACAATAGCAATAGCAATGTTACTAATGCTATTAATAATCCTATTTGACAAGGAATAGCTACAACAATACAAAATGAATAACCAGTTTATTAGATACATTTGTTCTATCTGTAAAACTGTGTTATAAGATGTCCAGTCCCATTTAGATATATATGTAGAACCTTATATATGGAATACCTCTTTATATAATGCAAGTCATTATAGCACAAATTATGGTAAATTGCACAAAGTTGGATTGACACCTCTCTGACACAAAAACATAAGCTTCAGAATTTAAGACAGGATTTATTGCAGGGGTTTTGTCTTGTACTGCATCATCACAGGATACACCCACACCTCTGATATGTACATATTAATAATGGTATATAAAAATTTACTCCTGCATCCTTTACACTCTGCTCATTGCATGTCTCAATCTGTCTATATTGTTTTTGTTTATAGTGTGTATTTGTGTTCTCTATACTGTAGCCATGTGTCTGATTTTTATTGTATTATTGTATGAGTAAGCACATTATGAGCAATGTACAATCCTGAGACAAATTCCTCAAATGTGTACACATACTTGGCAAATAAAGCTGATTCTGATTCTAATATTTTTTTATTGGCTTCAGTAAGAATACAACTTCTAATAAACAAAATCCTCTTCTTTCTTCCTTTTTTCCTCCAAAAGGAACATTTCAAAAACTATTATTACTATAATAAAGATGCACTTGAAAATACTAGTCTTGTATTAAATACCAATGATCATCCACTTTGGGTGATGAATATTTACGGAAGTAATTGTTTACAACGCTCAAGCATTGAGCTGATCTGGTAATCAGGCTATGAAATACAATATTTATTCATTAGAGCAGATTTAATGAGGCCTTGCGGCGCTAATTATGAAAACCAGTGTAGCAGTAAATGAGTAGCGCACGGTGGCGGGCTGCGGGGTACCTGTAAGGAGGGACTGGGGGGTTGAAGTGCCCTGAGTGCCATGGCACACTGAGCAGCAACACACAGCCCTGACTGTGGCCGTCCAGCCCACAGCTATACATCACCGGACCTGTAGACAGGTCACAGATGGGCCCCACATCCCTGCATGCCCTGCTCTCCTATCACCAGGAATTATGACTGGATTTCCCCAAAGCATCTTAACATCAAGATTATCTGTTTTATTGCACGTCAACAGACAGCAAAGTAGAAAATCTCAGTGCAGTGGTGCTTCAGGTGGACGTGCTCAGCGCAGCCAGGCTTTTAAAAATTGTTGCACTGATATACTGCCAGCCATAAAGCTGAAACAGGTTGAGCGCTTATTCTGCAGTTTCTATTTGTATGCAGGTCTGGAGATATGTGGTAGGATTTCACAGCATAATATGGGTTTTGATTGACTGATATTTTCATTATGGCTGCAGGGTAGCGTGAAGACTGTTAATTTGCTTGGGAGTCCTGCAGGTCTATGGTGATTGTAGTAGAGCCAGAAGAAAGGCTGAATAAATGAAACTCACAGAGCACAATCACAATCTGTGGGTCAAAATCAACTGATTAATTATAATTTTGAATCAATCTGTCAGGCCTCTGTAATAAATATCCTTTCAGGCTTGCTGCTTAATAACCAGCTTTACATGTACAAGTACAAGTGTAACATGGTACACAGTGGTACACCATGCAAATCTGACTTATTACAGTGAATACATACGAGATACTTGGGTAAATACTTTTCTGATAATAAAATGAGATAAAAGTTATATTGACTGTTGCTACATTTTGATGCAACTCTGCAAGACAACTTTCCACACAAGAATCTCCCTCTGGCTCTGACCTCTACATCCCAGAAAGTGTAGTGAGGAGAGTGCTGTTAAATGCACAGTGAATGACTCTGGGTGGCAGGAGGCTTATGACATGTTCCTTTCCTCCTGTTCCAGCCTGCAAAGTGATGGAAAAAGCAGTTTGGTCCAGGTGTCAGGGACATTATCAAAGAAAAGGGCTGCCTGCAGTTGCTCCATCTCACAGGAAATTGCCAACTCACCCTAACAAAGAAAGGCATAAGTGCACTTGCTGCTGCCTTCAAGGGGAGCGTGATAAGATGACATTATAAATACAGAATTGTTCATGGAGGTGGAGGGGTAGGCACATCAGGAAGCTGAACTTGACAATTCTGTTTTTTATGTGCGCTGTCTAAAGCCTGTATGGGTTTATCTAAAACAAAATCAGCTGCTTATCCATTTGGGATTCATACATTTTGTAAACGTGTTAAATTCTATTTGTGGATGTTTGCACTTCAAATACTTGAAACTGCAGCTTCATGTAGTTTACAAGTTCAGTTTCAGGAGTGAAACAATTGATTATGCACAACATATGAAAATTATGCAAATAATCTCATAAATATTTTATACATAGTGGAGTGTGTTGTATACAGAATGTATACCATGATGTTTACATAATAAAGATACCGTTTTCTTATTTGCACATT